GGCAAAGGAGATGGGTGGAGTATATGGAAGATTATGACTTCACTCTACAATATCATCCTGGAAAAGCTAATGTGGTGGCTGATGCCCTTAGTAGGAAGACGACGGGGGCTCTGGCGTCATTGGCTTTGGAAGATTGGAAAAGGATTGAAGTGGTGAGTGAGTATGATCTTCAGCTCTACGAAGATCATAACTAGGCTATGGTGTATAATCTGATCTCTACACCGGATATTGTACAACAGGTTAAGCAGAATCAATGGCAGGATCCACACCTCCAAGGAATCTAGATTCGAATCCAGAATGGAGAGCAATTCGAGGATTGGAGAATCCGAGAGGATGGAGCCTTGTATTTTCACAACCGCCTTGCTGTTCCTAAGGTGGGTGAGGTAAAGAAGACGATTCTGCAAGATGCACATAAATCGAGGTATGCCATACATCTGGGAAGTACAAAAATGTACCAGGACCTGAAAAGACAGTACTAGTGGAGAGGCATGAAAAGGGACGTTCGTGAGTATGTCTCGGAATGTGTGACTTGCCTCCGGATTAAAACTGAGCATCAGAAGCTAGCCGGAGAGTTGCAACCTCTTCCTATCCCTGGATGGAAATGGGAGCACATCACTATGGATTTTCTGATAGGGCTACTGAGAACCGAGTTGAAACACGACGCCATCTGGGTGGTGGTGGATAGGTTGACGAGGTCCGCCCACTTCATACCATTTCGTGCAACGTATTCTTAAAAGATTCTGTCAGAATTGTACCTGGAGCACATCGTGAGGCTACACGGAGTGCCATTGTCTATCACGTCAGATCGTGACACGCGTTTTAATGCAAGGTATTGGAGGAGTTTCCAAGAAGCCATGAGAACATACTTGAACTTCAGTACAACATTTCATCCTCAGACTGATGGGTAATCTGAAAGGGTAATTCAGATTCTAGAGGATATGCTTTGTGCTTGTGTTCTGAAATTTGGCGGGAACTGGAAGAAATACCTGCATCTAGCTGAGTTTGCTTATAACAACAGCTATCAGGCCAGTATTGGAATGGCACCGTTTGAAGCTCTATATGGTCATCCTTGTAGGTCACCTGTGTGTTGGTTGGAACCAGAGGATCGACTGAGCACGGGGCCGGAAGTCATTCAAGAGAATAATGAGAAGATAGTTGTAATTCGGGAACGACTGTTGACAGCTCAAAGTCGTCAGAAAAGTTATGCTGATAGAAGGCGTAGGCCTTTAGAATTCTAAGAAGGCGACTTTGTCTTGCTGAAAGTTTCCCCACGCAAGGGAGTTGTTCGGTTTGGTGTGAAAGGGAAACTTGCACCAAGGTATGTGGGACCATTCCCGATCGTTCAACGAATCAGAGTGGTGGCTTACCGGTTGGCCCTACCGCCTGAATTATCTCACGTGCATGACGTGTTTCATGTCTCCATGCTTCAGAAATGTCAACCTGAGCCGAAAGCAGTAGTGCAGTGGTTTGACGTTCCAATACAGTATGACACGTCGTACGAGGAGGCACCAGTTAAGATTCTGGACCGGAAGATAAAGAGTCTGCGTCATCGTGAGATTCCTTTGGTAAAAGTATTATGGCAGCACAATGAAGTTGAGGAAGCGACATGGGAGCTTGAAACGACGATGCAGGAGCACTATCCGTATCTGTTCACACTGTGAGGTAGGCTTTAATTTCGGGGACGAAATCGCCTAAGGGGGGTGGAGCTGAAACATCCTGAAGAATTAATTGAGATTATTAGTGTGCCTAATCTGGGTAATTAATTGAGTTTAATTAATAAATGTTTCTGACACGAGTGAGTTTAAATAGTTCCAAGGTATTTAAATTATTCTCAGTAATTTATTTTAAACCAGAAGTGTGTATGGGCGCATTTCTGGACCGCTCTTTTAAAATATTGTACATCTGTCATTTTCTTTTCCTTTTTCCTTTTCTTTTCTTTTCCTTTTTCCTTTTTCCTTTCCTTTCTCTTTCCTTTCCCGTGCATTCTCTCTCTCTCTCTCCTTCACTCTCACTCCCCCGTTCACTCTCTTTCTCTCTCACTCCCGTTTGTATCCCAAATCAAACGGATCTTGAACCAAGTAAAGATTTAAAGAAGTTTTCAACGTCAAGAGAAGGATTCAAGGTAAGATTACTGAAAGAACCTCTCTTGAATCTCACGTTTTCAGATTTCAAAACTCATTTTTAGTTCAAACTGGATTTTGATAGTTTTTGAGTAAAACTAGAGTAGAAATTGGAGATCTTGGGTTCTTTGGACGTGTTTTAGGACCTAGAACCCAGATCTAGTGGTTTTCCTTTGAAATATCTTGATTTGGGACTGGATTTACAGGTTTTGGACTGATTTCCGTGAGCTTCTCTCGCGCAGCTGATTCCACCGGTCGACCTGTGCGGTCGACCGGATCACATGGAAACCGGTCGACCAATGCGGTCGACCGGATTGTAGGCTGACCGGTCGACCAGTGTGCACACTGCCGGTTGACCGGTAGTGTTGCACTGCTCTGTCACCGGTCGACCGGTTGACACGGGGTTTGACCCTGTTTAGCCTGAAATTGCTGTTTTGATCCCTGTTTTTGGGGAGAACCCAAATTAGCTTCATTTGAGGACTTAAGGTAGATGGATTAACATCTTTAATCCTTATTTTGAGATTGAAAACCCTTGGAATGATAATTTGAAACATGAAAATGGATTAGGGCACAGTAATAAGAAATCTTGGTTGAAAATTGAGATTTGGATTGCTTTAGGAATGAAAGTTTAATCCTAAAGTGTTGTCTTGCATCAGTGATCGCTGAGGATTCAGACTGAAGGGGCTTGAGGAAGCGGAAGCTGAAAAAGGCAACGATAGTCCCAAGTTTGATAGTGCGAGGTAGGATTTCTATCCCTTTTCCTTATGAGCCTGTTTTCAAAAAGGATTTTGGCCTTGAAAATGTTTTAAAGAAAGGGATTGGTTTGCGAAAGAAAAATGTTTTAAAAACCATGGCTTTTTTTGTCATGGAACCTCATGGCTTGTCCAGTCATGGGGCCCACGGCTTGAGTAGTTCGTGGGGTCGTATCAACGATTTCAAAATGATTAATGAATGATTTTTTAAGCAAAGAGATCTTGTGAACTGGTAATAGAGTCTATTACTGTAAGCCTAGATAGGATGCGGAGAGTGCATCCTCGGGGGCAGAACCCGAAACTCGGTCCGGGTAGGCGAGGCACTTAGTTAGGTAAGTAATTTGTACTAATTACTTGCTGAAGCCTGTAAAACGGTTATTTACAGTTATATTTCCTTTGAGAAAAAGGATGTGAGGTTCCGGCTGTTCCGTTGGGACTGAATGTCTTATTTTATTTACTTATTCCTTTATTTATTTCCTCGCTCACTTATTATCCATTTATTTATAACGTTATTTCAAATTATATCATATTGGGTCTTTCGCTCACGTTTTATATTTCAAATGTATTAAACCCCTCCCAGGAGATTCTAGGAGCGGTGCGCAGTAGCTGGATAAGTGCTACGGAGCAGCTGAGTTGTGCTGCTATTGGAATCAAGTGAGGATCACAGACATCGTCTTGAATAAATGTAAGAGTTTATAGAATTCAGTAAACTTATGTAATATTTGGACTAACTAGACTGTGGTTGATGTCTGTTGTAATGATTATTTACATGTTCATGTATGTGCGATACTGTATGTCCTGTGGGGTGGAGCCCTGTGTGTCAGAGGCTCCGAAATTCTGTAATTTAATTATATTTTAATGCAGTTAAGTGTGGGGCCCGGTTGGAAATCTGTTGTATTAATCACAAATCAAGCTCCACGTCACCCACCCCGTTTGGGGGGCGTGACAGTTTTACACATGAGTCATAAATATGAATTGTAAATAAAAAATTTACGTTATAAAAAAATATTTTTATTGCTATTTATTTTAAATATTTTAAAATTTACTATTTACTTAATTTAGTTTCATAAATATACTATTTACTACAATTTTTACATTAATTATTGAGAAAAAATTAGAAATACCATTGAAGATGGTAAAAAAATATTATTTATATCATTACAGTTAAAAGTAAACGACTATCAAGAGAAAATAAATGTCACAATGACACCTAATTATTTAAAATAACATAACCAAAATAAATCATATATTTTTCTCTTAATATTATATTAGTAGTTACACAGGCCATTTAATAGCTCTAATTATCATCTCTAATGGAGTAGAAAAGAGGTAAATAAATAAAGGGAGCATGAAATAAATAGAAAATTTATAATAAATAATTGAAGTAAATAGTAAATTCTAAAACTATTTGTAATAAATAGTAAAAAAATATTCTTTTCCACATTTTTTTCTTTTTACGATAAATGAAAGATATTTTTCATATAAATAAAGATTTTTTATCATATAAAGTATTTTTTACACATCATAAAAAAATTTTACATAATAAACTGTTATTTACTCAAAATAATTTTAAAATCTACTATTTACTATAAATTTTGCTTTTTATATTGACGGTGTTAAAGAATTATTATAAATGATTCTTTTGGTTTTTTGGTTATTGTACTGAAAATTTCTCTAAAAACAAAATTGAAAAAATTTGGCATATCATTAGGAAAAGAAAAAACAAAGAAAGAAAGAAAGAAAAGAAAAAGGAAGGCATATTCCAAAGGACAACGGGAATTCTTTAATTTATTTCTTCTTAAAATAGGACGTGCGATCTGACAAGAACTGATGTGTAAAGTACCAAATTCACAGTAGAAATTCTACTCAAAATAATAATAATAATGAAACTAAATAAAAATTATTTGCAGTAGATAATTAATAAGAAAAGAAGACAAATATTTATAAATTTTATAGATTATGATTGTTATCTTTTTTTATTGATTAATATATTTTTAATTAAATAATTATACTATTAAAATAATATTGATTAAGAATAAGACGTTTATATACTATTAACGATAAACGATAACTTCTGTGATTTTCTGATAATTTTTTAGTTAATTTAAAACTAAACCCAAAAGCCAAAACCTTCCAAAAAAAAAAAAAAAAATAATGCCAAGACGAACCTTGATAAACAAGGAAACCCAACCTCCTCGTACCTCTATTTCTCCGAACCTATAAACTCACAACCCACTCCCAAAACAGAAAAATTCTCCACAATTAGACTTTTTTTGTTAACTTATTCCCAAAACCAAAAGTCGTATTCCTCCAAAATCAGTCCTTTTTTCCGGCCATGTCGAAGCTGAAGATTGCGGGGACATGGGCGGGTATTCTGGAGGTGGAATTGGAGGTTTGGACGGTGCCCATGTTGAGAGAAGAGGTCGCCAAACGATCCAACTGTGGGCCCGACTCGATCAATCTGATATGTGCCGGTAGAATTCTCAAAGATGGTGATGGGACCCAGAAGCTGAGCCAATTGGGTGTCAAAAACAACGCCAAGGTTTTGGCCAGCCGGGTCTCCGCCGAAGAGGGCAAGTCCTTGAACAAGGAGTTAATGGCTGAGGAGGAACGTTCTAGAAGGCTCACCCGAGTCAAGTGAGTTTTTCTTTTCATTGTTTTTTTAAACTTGGGATTGTTTTGTCTTGTGATTTTTAATGGGCAGTTTGTTTTTTATGTGTTGAATTTTGATGATTGAACCCGAATTGTTTAGTGGGTCTGCTGAGAAATTTCTCTCAATTTGAGTTCTATGTCTGTGTGTTTCATCATATGAATTATGTTGATTGAAAAAAAAAAAAGAAAAAGAATGTAGGGCCAACTTTGGCTTTTATTTTCTAAAGTCTCTCTTCATGTCTGGGCCGGGACAATTTGCAAATTTCGGAGATAACAAAGAGAATAGGATTGCAAATTAGAAAGTGCAAAGTTCAAATTCAGGCTTTTAACATGTTGGAATTTAAATCCTCCCAAAAGCTTAAACTAATAGGAGGTGTATTTTGCATACAATAACTGAATAGAATTTTGCCAAGAGCTGTTTTCTATTTGGGTGTCCAATTATTCCACTAAGCGGGCTTTCTATTTATGAAGGGCCTGTTTGACATTGCTTTTGCTTATGTTTTTAGGCAGTACAAAAGGAAAAGTAAAGATATGACTTTCTAATTAGTGTTTGGAACCACACTTTCAAAGAGCGTAAATGAAAGAAAGTTGGAGGTCAAATCTTCTAATAAGGAATAAATATGTTAAAGGAAGTTTATACAATCTTATTGAAACTCTGTTACAAGTTTCAAAGTATCCGTAAGGGTTTTTAGCGCAATTGCCCCTGAACTTATTGTGGTTTAGCAAATTACTCCCTAAACTCTACCGCTCGGGGTGTGCCTCGTGTCGAGGCGAGGAGAAGCCGCCTCAAAGCTTACGCTTTGAGGGGTAGGAGGTGAGGCGCACGCCTCATCCATGTGAGGTGTACGCCTCTGAGCTGCGCCTCAAGCAGTGGTTGAGGCATGCGCCTCTTTTCTTCATCCGTTGTTGATGCTGAGGTAGGAGAGAGATGAAGATTTTTATTATTCAGTTTTGTTGGGAGGGGGAAGAGAGACAAAAGTTGGTTGATCCTTCTCTTAGTACTAGTAGTGATAAATCTGATGACGATTGATGAGTTGGGAGAGATCTAGGTTTTTAGAAGTGCATTATAGACATTATAATATTAGGATTTGATGACTATTTAGTCTTTTTTATGCGTCTAGTAGTGAAATAAACTTGTCTTCTTATGGATTGAATGGTTAAATTTCTCATTTCTAATGATTATTGAGTATGGATTTAGTTTTCATTACTATTATTTTTTTAAAATTTTTTTTATTGACATTTATTTTTTGAGGCTTACGCCTCAAAGCTTAAGGGCCTTTAGGCAAAATGCCTTAAGGTCCCATTCCGCCTTTTAAAACCTTGATTTAAAAGGTGAAGAAATGAAAGATTTGTGTTACATTTGAATTGGAATGTTGGAATTTTTCATCAAACGTGCTTTTTCGACACTAATTTAATATAATCATCGTAAAAATGGCACATATTGCAACAACTTTACAAGTTGAGGGGACAACTTGCTAAAATTAAAAGTTCAAGAGGCAAGTTGTTAAAACCATGCAAGTTCAGGGGAAAAATGTGTAAAATACCCTATTCGTAGAGTAATTGTTTGAGAAGTCAGATTTTATGTGTAAAATACCCTATTCGTAGAGTAATTGTTTGAGAAGTCAGATTTTATGTGTAAAATACCCTATTCGTAGAGTAATTGTTTGAGAAGTCAGATTTTGTGGCTTTGTCTGAGATCTCTTTGGAGCCTGGAGGGCCAAAGATCTTCTGGAAAGTTAAAAACAGTTTGCAGAATGCCCATATGGATCTGAATTATCTTTGAAAGAAGCATTTATGAATATGCCAGTCCTGTATTATTTTCAGTTGATAACACGTGGAAAAGAAAAACGTGTATTTATTTTTATTTTATGCTTTGTGTGTACATTCTTTCTTAATGTGATTGTGTCTCTGGGGAATTAACAGGGCAGCTGCAGCTGCAATTTCAAAAAGACATGCAGATGGTTCCTTGCCACTCGAGGACCAAATTATAGAACTTGAAGATCAAAGTGGTCGGCAAGTGAAACTGGGGACAGAGACTGATCAGCGGTATGGTAAATATTTAGAGTTTGCTTTTAGCACCTTTTCTGATTGGTTAGAACTTAGATGGAACCCACTTATGTCTTTCATTAGGATTCAAGAACCTGTAGTCAAGTTCTTAATTTTGGAATGGAATTTGTACTCATTTGACAGGGCAATCATGATGGGCCTGATGCTTCATACCAATGCAAAGCAGCTAATTAAGAAGCAAAATTACAAGGATGCTTTAGAAGTACTCACTATGGGAGAGGTCAGTTTCTGGGCAGCCTGGTATATTTTGTAAATAGTTAATTTTTTTACTAAGTTGCATTAGTGCTTTTGCTTTCTTATGGCCCAGAGGGGATAAATTAGACCTTAATTTGTTTATTGCCCATTTCAAGGATTTTATAAGCTAACTGTCATTATTTGTTTATAGAAGGCATTCAATATACTGTTTGTTTTGGAATTTGATTGTTTCGATTGTTACGTTATTTACATTGGTTTTCATGTCACTAAGAAAGGTGCTAAATCCAAGTGCACTTGTGTTTCTTCTGTAGGAGGCATTCTCTCTATGTGATCCAAAGGTCATTGAGGTGAGTTCTTTTATATTAAGAAGTTATTACACAATCTCTCTGTTGAAATTAGTCGATATAAGCTATGTCCTGGCGGAAAATGGTTGAAATAGCTAAAATGTGATCCTAAATACAGTCAGATCTTTCATTGGACTGAGTTTCTTATAGGCAGATCTGACATTGGTCATTCTTGTAACATGTGGACTATAAAGCAAGTTTGTAAAGTTTCGAAGAAATGAACTTGCTTTCCGAGAAAGAATAAGCTTTAAGAAGTCCTCTTCCTATTGGGGCCAAATAAAAGAAAAATGAGCATGTTAGCTTTTGTTTTTATAACTCTTTTTCGTGTTTCTTGAGGTAACTGGTTTGGAAATGGTTCTTAAATGGTGTTTGGCTTGTAAGGATTCCGGAAGCGGCTGATATAATTTGGAACCGGTCTCATTTTTTATAACAAAAAGAAAAAGAAAAAAGAAAATATTCTAGAGTCGTTGTCCTTTTTCCTTTTTCTATTTTAGGGCTTATCAACGTTGCTATACTCAAAAGTATCTCTCTGGAAAAACAATGAAACACAATTTCAGAAATGATTCCAACCCAATTCCCAAAAGAATCTTATTTTCATTGTTATACTCAAAACAAAATCATTCTAGAAATGCTCCCAGACGGAATCTTGGTAAGCTGTTTCCAAAATCATTTATCTGAAATGACTTGAAGCTACTCTAGCAACTGTGACATGGTGAATTACCATCTGAGCCCCGTTTGTGCAATAGCAATTGTTTCACTTTATTGGACTTGAAAACTATTTTTCTTATGTTAGATATTACTCCTTATATCTTAAAATATTCTCAACCTTTTTTCCTTTTTCTTTTTTTATCATGTCGCTTTCAGTTTATTGACAATCCCCCAATACTGCAAATAGAAATTGTGTGGTGCTACTTCATGCTACAAGACATTAGGTGGCTTTCAGTGGCTGGAGAGCGCCTTCAGAAAGCCAGACGAGATCTTGAGCGGTCTCATGGAAAGGACTCCCACCGTGTTAGACTCCTTCAAGGAGGTCGTTATCCAGAGCTTGCACTGTGAGTATTCTTAAATTTGTTATAGATATCCTTTGTTTACATATTTAGTTACAGCACTTGGCTAAATTTCTGATTATAGATATTTGAGGTTGGAGCTTCTGGAAGGAGTGGTAGCCTATCACAATGGTCAATTTGATAAATCAAGAAAATGGCTCACCTCTGCGCAAGAGAAATTTGGCCAGGTTAGTTGGATATACTACCCAAAGAATTTCTGAGAATTCTGGGAGGAAAGTGGTTGGACAAAATGTGCATGTATAAATCTTTACCTGTAATAGATTGGTTGTTTTGGGATCCTAGTTCATCCTAGAATTGATTGTTTGACCAGCGTGTTCACAAGGTTACGTAGGCTTAAGGCTTGAATTGAAAGAAGGAAATAAGAGGTTATCCGGTTATTTTGGGTTTCTTACCTTTTTTAAAAAAAAAATTATTCTGTAACAAAAAAAAAAAGGGAAGAACAGATTCCACTTTAACAATACCAGTTAATTTAATCTGCGATTGTCTGCTTGTTTTTGGTTTTAGCTACAAGTTCCCGATGAAGCCTTATCACTTGTTATGAGCATGGGCTTTAGAGAACACGAGGCGAAGCGAGCATTGCGAATGAGCCATCAAGATGTTGGGAGCGCAGTTGATTTTCTTGTTGAACAAAAAGCACTGAGGGCACAAAAAAGAGAAGAATATCTTCGGCAACAAAATAAGATTATGTTAATCTTGTTAATAAATTCCCTTTTTTCTTTTATGAAATATTTCCCTATTCAGAGTTTTGATTTGGCTGAGAAATTGGCAGGGAGCAAAAGAAATATGGAAAGACACCCTTAAAGAAGCCTGTGGATCTCCAGAAATTGAATGAATTGGTCTCCATCGGGTAGGGACAAAACTGTATATTTGTCTTTTATAATTAATTGAGTAATGTTACACATCATCAAAAATTCTATCATGAATATCTTGAATGCATCCGGTCAAAATTCCACATAATCTGTACAATTAAAATTACTGTTTTTGTCCGAAGTTTTCTACCCCTCGCAAGTTATATTTTAGTTTCATGATGAGTCATGAAACTTTACATTTTTTCTTTTCTTTTTTCCATGATGTCTATCATTTTCATTTATTTCAGTGGCATGATTGTTTCAGTCGAAAGAGTAACTCTGTGATATGTTCAGTCTTCACGAATAATCTCAAGAGTTGCTTGATATTTGCAGGTTTGAGAAGGAGCTTGCTGCTGAAGCACTTCGAAGGAATGAGAATGACACTCAAAAGGCGTTGGATGATTTGACAAATCCAGAGATTAACTCTTCCATACAGGTCATTTGTTTTTCCATGTAAAATGGTTTTCTTTTGGTTCTAAATTATGAGTCTTTGTCCACTTACTTTCTTTTTATTACAGCTTACTATTGAATCACGGAAAAGGAAGCGTCAGCAGAAAGAGACCGACGCTTCAGTTGAAGCCCTTGTACGTATGGGCTTTGAAAGAGAAAGAGGTACTTTTCAAAGATATTGCTGTACTACAAATGTTTTTAACGTTCCCATTTCAGGACATGCTAAACCACTCGTTAAATTATTATGCTCGTATAGCTTTCAATTGGTACTTCTATGTTTTGATAATCTCATTAGGGTACCCTATAAATTAAAAAAAGATTATCCGGTAGCTTAAGGCTGTTTTTTGGAACATAAGAATCTCCATTCTATCCTTTTAGTCTAAAAACATATCAACGAACAAAAGAAAATGAAATTCAGGTAAAAATTACTAAACAAATAAAATGTTGAAAAAAAAAGTTAGTTCTTCCCACCCCTCTCTCTCTCTCTTTCTCTGACTCCCTAATTATATTTTCAACGGTAAAAAGGATATCTGCCTTAATGTATGCACATGCTATTTGTTTTTTATGAATTATATGCACCAATAGAATTATTGGAACATGTTTTCAATCTTGAAAAGAATGAAAATTACATGGTACCAAAATGATAAGTTCCCCTCTAAAAACTAATATGGCCAAACACCCTCGTCAAATTCACTTGTACGGATAATTTTGCAATCTTATTTTTTACCTGTTTAGCTCTTTCCTGTTCTGTTTATTTTGTTACTGACATTTTCAAAAACGGCACTACATATATAAGAAATTGTAAAAAAAAAGTAGGTGCGGCACCTAACTATGGCTTGATATTTTGAAATCCCTGCAGTGGTTGAAGCATTTCATAGCGGTGGGACTGTGGATCAAGTGATGCATAGACTGCTCTCACAAGCTGCACCTAACTCCACAGATGCTCTTAACAATAACGCGGGGTCGGGGTCGATCGCTGCAATGGCTGCCAATGACGTTGCGAGTTCTTCTGCTCCGACGGTGGATAATGTTGCCGAAGACAATGGTGATGACGGAGATCCATCTACTGCTGGCAAAGTTGAAGAAGAGCGGGATATAGAGATGGAGGACGAACTTGCTGACGGGCTATCGAGAGTGGATGCTATATCGGATTATGATATTGAAGTTTCCAAAGAAGGTGAAGCCATAAACGAGTACTTGGCGCTGTTGAATTTAGCCGGCAAGTAATGAAGGAGGGATCTTCTCCGAGGTGAAAACTACTCAGGACCGTGATGGTAAACGAGGTGTAAATAGTAGTGATTACTCGAACATTAAGTTATAGATTTCAAGCACCGTTTTAAAGATGGAGCTTTGCATTTTTCTGCATATCAAGCGTTTGTGGTTCTAATAGGCATTTGCAGGTGTTAATAGATATTGATTCATAATTTAGCTAATCCTTTTTATATATGAAACTGTTTAGAATTCCAAAAATAAACGAAAACAACGAAGAATCATAAACTATATGTAACTTTTTAGTTGTAGGTTGAAATAACTTTATGAGTTCCTTAAAGATGAAAAACAAGGGTTCTACAATAGGGGCTCTCTCCTATCAGCAGTATCTTTTCTTACAGTTGGATCAGGTTAAAAATATATATGCACATCGTTAAAGCAATTTGAATATTACATTTTTGATATAATTTAAGATTATAATAATTTATACGAATGCTTCATTACCAAAAACAAAAAAGAAATTGTGAAATTGTAATAACAATTAGTATATAAATTGATATAAACTATTATACGAATTTATATATTGTGATAACAATTTTTTTTAACACTTGTTCTCAAAAGTAATGTCAATAATGAGTAATTCAGTACTAATAAAATAATTTATCAAAAAGAAAAAAGTGAGTGAAGAGTAAATTTAGGAGTGATAATAGACTCACCCTAATTTTTTCAACGTGGGGTGCATGCGTGATGAGTATTATTTTAAAAAAAAATAATGTTGTCCTTAAAAGTAACTTTATTAATGAGTAATTTAGTAAAAAAAATTCATTAAAAAAGTGTGTGAAAGTAGAATTGCGGTGTTAGACACACACTTTTTTTTTTTTCAATTATTTCCTCCCAAGATTTTGTGTGTTTTAATGAGATGAAATAACTATCAAATATGTATAAAGTTTAAGTTTCATTACTCTGTAGGAGAAATTGTACTAGTGGAGTTGTGAAGTCACAGACGTACATATATTATATAATATATGTAGCTTTATTTGTCTTTTTGTATTAAAGCTACATATATTATATAATATATGTAGCTTTATTTGTCTTTTTGTATTCTTTTTTATAATTAAAAATCCTGTTAATTTTTTTTCTTTGAAAAGCTAGTTTGTTGTCATCTTTCTTTAAATTTCTGGGTGAAAAAAGTCTCTTTCAATCTTTTAATATAATTTAAAATTATTAGTGTTTTTTTTTTTTTTTCCTTTTACAATAAGCCCAAAACCTAGACTCTCCTTAAGCTCAAGAACGATTCAATATCTTGAATTTCACGAAGAGAATTCCAATTAATAAGATATTTGAAATAGAAAAAAAAAAAAAAAAAACACACCCTCTGAGTAGTGTTGAAACTTTGGGCCGGTGGGCCGGCCCGAGGCCCGAATTTTTCGGGCTCAGCGGGCAGGCCCAATTGCCGGCCCGTCCAACTTTATTTTTCGGGCTCGGGCAGCCCAAATATGGACAACTCGCCGAAGCTCACCACCGTGTTATCACCGTCAACCGCCGTCCGTCGGAATTTTTTAGAATTTTTCTGGTCATGCCTGATCTGCCCGAACCCAACCAACAGACAAATTTTTTACCGTTGGATCCCGACCCGACCTGAAGCCCGAACTACCCGACCCCAACGGCTAGTTTTTTTTTACCGTTGCCCGATTTTCTACCCGAGCCCACCGAAAAAAATTAGCCGTTGGATCCGAATTTGGGGGAAAAAATTAATTTTTTAACCCAAAAATTTCCCTATAAATAACTCTCATCCCCCACACATTTTCCTCACTCAAACTCTCTCAATCCCTCTTAATTTCTCTCAATCTCTCTCAATTTCTCTCAATCTCTCTCAATTTCTCAAATCTCTCTCACAATTTTTCTAAAAACTATCACAATATCCTAAAGCTCTCTCTCTCAAATCGCTCTTATTTTTTTATAATAGATTCTTTTGGTTATAGTGGTATTCCCGTCGATGCCCAACACAATGTGAAAGAAGGGCAATTTCCAACTAATGAATTTGTTACGCATGAATCTGCTAATCCGAGCCCTGGTAGACGTACTGGAGGTCGTGGTCGCAATGGTGGTGGGCGTGGAGAAGTGCAAGTGCAAGTGCGACTGCGTTTGCAAGTGTTGCAACCTCTAGGAGGAAATGCAAGCACACCTCGACAGTTTGGGATCACTTCGACACAATTGAGGAGATCGACAATGAAGGTAACACTAAACATATAGCTCAGTGTAAATATTGTTAATCTAAATTACAAGGTGACACTATTCACAGCACAACACACTTGAGAAGACACTCCGAAAAGTGTCTTCAAAAGGTTAGCTAGTTTGGCGGACCCGAACTCCGCCAACCACAATTATCTTTTGATCACACAACCGTTGGTCTAACCACTAGGAAATACGATCCACAAGTAGATCGTATGGAAGTTGCGCGAATGATAGCTGCATTAGATCAACCACTTAGTTTTGTAGAGCATCCTAATTGTTAATGATATATTAAAGTTGTACATAATCTTAATGCACAGTTCACTTCAAAAACTACTCTTAGGAAAGATTTATTAAAATTATTTAAAAAATAAAAAGAAGTATTAATAAACCTTGTACACTCGACTAGCGGGTGCGTTGCATTAACGGCAGATATTTAGTCTGCCGTTGTCAATAAAGATTATTTAGCTGTAACTGGACATTACTTTAAAGGATTCGATTTAGATAAGAGAATATTAGGTTTTAAATGTGTTTTAGGATCACATAGCGTCGATTTAATATATAATACAATTTTAAATGCAATTGATGAATTTAGATTAAGAGATAAAGTAATGGCTATAATATTAGATAATGCTAGTGCAAATACAAAAGCAATTGAGTAATTTAAAAATGATTTAAGTTTATTCGGTGATGGTACTATTTTTCACCAATGTTGTGCATGTCACGTAATTAATTTAATAGTTAAATCCGATTTAAAAGAAATGGGTACTCATATTAAAAGAATTAGAGATAGTATTGCATGGATTCAAGGTAGTAGCAAAGACAAGAAGATTGCTTTAGGTTCTTACAAGCACTAAATATACCTCTTGAAGCATTAGCCTTAGATATGCCTGTAAGATGGAACTCAACTTATATTATGTTTTAGTAATGCATCCCCTCTAAGGATGCTATAACAAACTATATATGTACAAAATTAGGAACATGACATATAGACGCATATGATTGACAAATTGCCGAAGTTTTGTACCAATTTTTAGGTAAGTTTCATGAAGTTACTTTAAAACTTAGTAGAACATATTACCCAACATCACCTTTAGCTTTAGGTGAACTTTTAAGAATTAGTATTTTATTTAGTAAATATAGGGCGTACCTCAATCTTAGGAGTTCCTATCCATTCTATGGAAAAGAAATTTAAAAAATATTGGTCTAAGTTACCTTTGTTGTATGGTTTGGGTACTATTTTTGATCCTGGATTAAAATTAGATGGTTTAGAAAGTGGTTTAAAAAACTTAGGTGAATTTTTAGGCATCAATTGTGCGGACCAATTTCCAACAATAAAGAAAAAAATATTTTTGATCTATAGTAAATATAAGAATACGTTTAGAAGCACAAACTCTGGAGTACATGAACCGCAACAACAAGATGAAAACCCACATTCATTCTTGAATGTTTTAGGGTTGAAGAAGAAGAAGAAGATAACTCAAACAGAAGCTAGGAGTGGATCTTCATCAATAGGTGGTAGCGGTGGCGGCGGCTTCAACAAGCTTATAGCGTACCTCAGTGAGAACATAGTAGTCGACGGTACTAGAGAATCATTTGACTTAGTTCAATGGTGGAAGGCACGAGCATTAACTTAGCCAATCCTAACTCGATTGGCAATGGATATATTTTCGATCTTAGTCTCCATTGTTTCATCCGAACAAGCCTTCAGTACGACAGGACGAATACTTGAAAAACGCCAAAACGCATTGCAAAGGGACATTGTTAAAGCATTGGTCTGCATTAAGGATTGAGATCGTGCCGATCAACGTCTACAGGATACAATTTCACCGGCAGGTCAAGAATGGATCAATGAATTTAATAGATTAACATTTAATTTTGAAGATGATCCTTTAGCTTCAAATTAAATTGTAAATTTGTAATTTGTAAATATGTATTTACTTTTGACATTGTAATTGTATATTTAGACTTTGTAAGTTTGTAAAATTTGTAATTCGTCACAAAATGATTGCACTCTTTTTTCCTTACCAAGTTTTTATCCCAATTGAATTTTTCTTGGTATGGTTTTTAACGAGACAATTATGAATTACGAATTTAAAAATTAATTTATTAAATTGTGTTAATAATGTGTGTTCAATGTTGATTTTAGTTTTTATATAATTTTAACACAAAATAACTTAATAATTATAAAAATTAAAAAATATAAAAAAAATGTAGGCATTCTGGGGGGCTCAGGCAGCCAAAGCCAAGCCCGCGGCCCATCCACATGCTTTCTCAGGTTCGGACGGGCAGCCTGAAAATTTCAGGCGGGTCGGGTCAGGCATCAGGTAAAAAATCGGTATTTTCGGACGGTCGTGGACGGCCCGTCTAAAATTTCAGCACTCTCTCAATTGTATTCCATTTGAATGTCATATCTAATATTATTCATTCTAGAATAGTTACTTTTTTTTTTTTGGGCTAAAATTCTCGAATAGTTACTTAATTAGGATAGGGTAAGGGAGTGAGATTTTTTTTAAATGGACTTTGTAATGAGCATTTTTTTAAAAATAATTTGTCTTTGTGGTTGAACGTAATTTTATTAATGGATAATTCAATAATTAGAAATTTTATTAGAAAAAAATGTGTGAAAAGTAAAGTAGTAGTGTCAATAGTCGCACTAATACTCTGTTCTAATTTACAAGAAACAATACTTAATTCTTATCACACTCATTTAATAAGAAGAAAATGAACAAGTTATCATTCTTGATTTCCAAACCTTTCACATAACGTTCCACGGACTTGAAATTTCTTACTAAAAATCTTACCAAATCAACAGTCCGTTTCCCCAGGACGCCGAACTTGGAAAGTCTTCTTCCCTTTAGCAATCAGTAGATCCTCTAGAGCATTCTCTTGATGATATGAAGTGAGATTGGAAAGAGAGTTCAATTTGTCACAAATATCTTCCATCGTGAAAAAAGACGAGTAGGGGCCACAAAGCAACTACGATAGGACTGGCTACAAGCGCCATATTTTTTTTTTCTCTTTTCTTCTTTTTCCATCCCAGAACTTAGAGCTTTTCTGCCTCGCCAAAAGTAACATCAAAGAGAGAATAGATTGGTATCTAGTAAACGCTGAATG